GCAAACACTCAGTGAAAGGTGACTCCTGCACCCTCCCAAGGTTTGTTTGCTATTTTGTCCCGTCACCTCCTATCTTTTGGAGCAAACTTGGCCATGAGACCTCTATGGGAGATACACACAATTAATGAAAACCAAATGTGAGCGAAGGCTTCAGCTCCCCACGGGCTGCGCGGCAAAACAAGAGGCTGGATCACATCGGGATTACCAATGTGGAGCACAGTCAAGAATTCAGAGTCCTCTTCCTCTTTCACTGCTTCCAGACCGGTTTAAAGCTGCTCGTGTGGGGGAAGCCGTGAGGTCGCGCTTGTTTGCGCACGCACGAGCCTGGCTTTGCTATCTGCAGATCACGGCCGCTTCCTCCACAGCAAACACCGACCTGCTGCAATCGGAGCCGCGGGCTGTGCCCGCCGCCGGTGCCGCCGCACGCTCCTCCTGCGCGAAGCCGTGCATGGAAACGCGGCTCCCACCAAGGTGCCCGGGGTGCACTACGGAGCCTACGTGACACCCTGCTGTTCTTCCCGCGCTGTTCTGGGCACTGGGAATTGACAGTTGAATGCACCTGCACCAGACCTGCAATATTCCAACTATACACAAGAACGAAGCACAACGGATCTGCTAATCTTCTCTGCTCTACCCATATACATATTTTTTAATATCATATCTTAGAAATACTAATGCTTTGGCAAAATATCTGCCATGAATAACAGAGAACACCAAATATGGGAGAATAAAAGCACTGAAGTGGTACCCCCAGTTCAACACCATGATCCTCGGAGCCGCGTTCACCCGCGGTGTCGCCACGCGGTGAACGCTGCCCGGCAGCCGCAGGGACCGACAGCTCCCGCGGGAAATTAAAGTGCACACGGATGCGTCACGGGAGAAAACATCCTGGCGAGCGAGCTCAGGAAAGAGCAGCACCACGGCCACAGACTCTGGCTTTTTATCGCGGTCAATGTTCGGGTCAGCTATCAAAAAACAAAAACACTTAAGACTGTAATTTTAACACAAAAATATTTGGTTTTCAGCTATCCAAATGACAAACCCCTGCATTTCTATTAAAAACAAGTAAATGAATTAATGAAAGGCCCACTAAAAAGCATCGTGAGGATCCTGTGTGGGTTCCTCCTCTCCCCAGGAGGAGGGTTTCCCATCCGACGCGGTTGTGTCCTGCTACGGCCCGCGCCAGCCAGGGACCCCCCAGCCAAGAGGACGCGGCTGGAGCAGATCAAGATCACCTTGATCCTCGAGCTTCGGATCAAAACGGACCCCTCAGCGTTGCTCTTTTCCTTTTAAATTCTATTGCAAGATTAAACTTTAGTGTCTTTGCTACAACACTTGCTGATTTTCTCAAGGTGCAAGTCATGAACTTCACACATTTCATTGCCGTCACACGCCCACAAACACTTCCAGGCAGAGCAACCGGCTCACTCTGAACTTCAGAGGAAGCCTCAAGACAACTTATTCTAGTAATTGCTAAGTTCTTTAAGTGTGTTTTGTTAAACGCTCGCTCCATCCTTCCCTATGTATCTGCACGGTGTTCAGCAGCGCATACCCCATGGGAGGCTGGAGACAGGACAGCTCACAGTGACCCCTCTCCTTTCTCACCTCAAAGTTCTCATTGCTTCATCAAGCTTTTACTTATAAGGGCTTCTTAGGGTGAATATATGAGAAAATATTATCACTAATACACAAAATATTTTTAAATATTTTCTAATAACTCAGATACCTGTGTTGAAGACATTCGAAATGTAAAAGGATTACTTAAATTTATTACTAAGCTTTATCAAATGCGCATACCCCTGGTTATCAAGAAAAAAAGGTTATACAACAAATGCATGTTATTTAGCCAATGACCGTTGAAAGTCTACAAAAATACAATATAAAAACAACGTTGCTTTCTTTGGTCACAACTATATTCAATTTTACTTCTTCTACAACCCAGGAAGCTTTGCAACATTGCTCTATACCACAGAAATTAGCTCTATACCACAACTACTCTATTGGACAACTAAACCTCAAGCTACACAACTACCACTAATTCAAATCAGTGTGTATTTAGAAGTAAATTATGCTGTGTAAGTTCAAATTAGTTCAATATAGAACACCAGGTCTATATACAACTGCCACTTACTGTCAAGCTGGCAGGGAATTCAGAGATAACAGGCTTGTTTTAAACCTTCCTCCATCCACGGTAAGTGGGTCCATTCCTCTATTTTTTTTTTTGGATCCTTGCTGTCCTAGAGTGTTTGTCACAGCAGCATTCCCGCGCGTGCGCCCGGGCTGTTCAGAGCCAGGGCTCTTCCCTGCAGACCCCCAAGCCCAGCTCCCCTGGAATGTGGAATGTCACTGGAATGTGGAATGTCACTGGAATGTGGAATGCCACCCCCCAAGGAGGCCGATGCCCAGGCGGGCCCAGCAGCGTCCCCCTCCAAGGACCCCCATTCCATCCTCCTCATTCCTGGAGGCCCAAGCACTGCGTAAGCCACGCACAGACGTCTACGTGGGAACACTGCGAGCAAGGGAAACATTCCCAGCTCGTCTCCCTGCTCCGTCTGGCAGGACGGCCACGCACAGGGCACCACCCTAGACAAAACAAGGCCATCAGACACACAAGGCTGAAGAACAAATATTTTGGATGCTTTAGTAAAACCAGGGTCACAACCCCAAAATAGAGCAGAGTCGAGAATCTCTTTTTTGAACGTTGAGGGGTTTTGGCATCACATTTCAAACCAGTTAAATTCTCTTTTATCTAAAGGTCACCAGAAAAAAAAAAAAGTGCACTGATCTGCAGTACCTGAGTTAGCAATAGACTGTGAATTTCCTTAGACTACAAAATCCCATAGAGTAACCAGCAACAGTTGCTTTTTTTGTTTTGCTTTTTTCAATTCACCTTCTCATAGGATGACAATTTTCAACTTTTACACTTGCAGGCTGAGACCTATGACAGGTCTCAAAACCTGTCACAGCTTAAACAGAAACTAAGGTAATTTCTGCAACTTTCCTTGGGGGAAAAGGAAAGAACAGAACATAGGAAGATGCTATTACAAGGCAGGAGATTTTAGCAAACCTGCACGTATGAAAGCAGAGGAAATCATCACGGAAACTTAGCCACAAACACTCACTGCAGAACAGCAACAGCAGCGTCAGGGAGGAGACTGGTTGTTTTTGACCTACTTTGTGATACAAATTAGTTGGTACTCACATAAGGTATCTAGAAACCCTAGCAGGACGTTCTGGAAAACGGGAAGCCTGGAGCCTGCCAGAGAGGCCGACAAGAGGGATTCCTGTTCGTTGAGGACTTCAGAGCCACCACATCTCTACAGAGCTGGGGGGAGAGGGGCAAGAAGGAATATTACCCGCTCATAAATATGCACAACATCCCCAGCTTGCACCTGATGCAGTTCTGTGTGTAATCCAGACTCGTTCTAGAATCGTGTTTTCTCCCATTACCAAGTTACCTCAAAGATGTTTCATTGAAGCACTTTGATTACTTGTCAGAGAGGAGCACCCCAGGCACGTACACCTCTAGGGCCATGGTTTCATAACCACGAACGCTGCCGTTTAGGGACACGGCCCTCCAGAGCCCACGCGGAGACGAACAGCGCGGCGGGCAGGGACACGGGCAGGGACACGGGCAGGGACAGGGGCGCCGACGCGCTGT